ACTGGGTTTTTAAGAATAATGAAACAGCAAGAGTTTATATTTTTCCTTATTCGTCGTAGAATTGATTTAAATTCTTCGTTCACGATAGTGTATTGTTTTAAACGAATATAATATGTTTTGTTCGTTGGTAAGTTATTAACACTACCGAGCGTTTATTGTGATTAATATATGACCCTTATGAAAATTATAAGAATAGATTTCTTTTGGTTTCTTTATGTATTCATTCTAGTATTTAAAAGAAATTATTCATTTTTGAAATTATTTCGTATATTTAATACTTTTAAGATATCAATAATTGCGAAATAAAAAAACTGATAATCGTCAGTTTGTATTTTAATTAGAAATGTTATAATTATTGTGATTACTTTATAAGGTAATAATTATTTTGTAAGGTATACCATTCCGTGATTACTTTATGAGATAATTGAATTGCAGTAGATATCAAATAAAGAATGTGACAACCAACAATTAAGAAAGTAATCTATTACAAATTCGTTTATTGGTAGATGTTTTTCTAGTCAAGTGTATTACAAGGAAAAAATATATTTCAGGTAGTAATGAATCTTGTCTACAACGTCAGTACAATAAGAGTGAATCTCAGAATATCTTGTCAACTACGTGTAAACGATGATATCACGTCGCGAGATACTTCATCCATTGTTATAGAGAACTTCGTGAAGTTTTTAATCTCGATAGTTAATTGCGACCATTCATTAACAAGGGAACTCATGCAATAAGGTCTTTCTTAAGTCTTTATACACAGGAAACTGATTAGTGTATTCGTCTCGAAACTTTTGCATTGAAAAGTGTTATACGTATGAAATGTGAATATACTGATTGTTTTGAAGTTTTACACTATTTCATTTAACACAACAAGAATAATATAATGTTCATCAGCCCTTTGCATTCGAAATTTTTCACGGGAAATATGCAACATTTTCTGAATAGATATACACGACATTTTTAAAAGTAACTTAGCGAGAAATTACACATACATTAAGCAACAAAGCTATTTTATATCGATATTTTCATGAGTATGTTACAAAATTTTATACTTTTGCTGTATCAAATCAAGTGGCGACTTAAAGTTACCTCTCGAATGCAAAGCGTTAAATATAGAGTTAACGTTTGAACATGCAAAAGTGTATACGCTTTTCAATAATATATTGATCGAGTTATGCAATTATCGTTTTTGTCATAATCTGAATATTGCGCACACAACAGTACTACTCGACAAAGTAGAAAATTTTTGTAAAAAATTGTTCACGATCCTGCCAGGATTCGAACCTGGAATCTTCTGATCCGTAGTCAGACGCGTTATCCGTTGCGCCACAGGACCACCCTTGGTACAATGATTTGTATCTTTCTACGAAAAGATTGCATAATTCAATGCAATTACATAAAATATTATTGAACTCGTTTTGATGAAACACATGTTACAAACATGTAATACGTTAACAAATAAAGCACGATTAACATGTGCACGCATATTGCAATATCAGTAAAATGCGAATCAGTGGACTAGTAGCGAAGTCACCAGTATAAAATTGATAATAGTAATCGCTACCTATTATTTTGACAGTTATAGTATTTTTTTTTTAAATATTTATTTCTGTTAAAAATTATAAGTTAGTTAACGTTTATTGAGAAAATAAATGTATTTCTTTTAAATGTTTTTATTTGGGACTTAAAGGGTTAAACGTAACACCGGATTGCTAATGTAATTGATGTTACATTATCTAACGCAATAGTGTGTAAGATAGAGCAGTTAAAAGACACGCCAACGCAACGAATATTGATCTAAGCACTTTTTACGCACTTCCTATGTTCTCGTTCCCTACATTACTTCCAGAAGGATATGTAATATCGATTGATTTCGAACCCTTCTGTTACAACGTAGCAGGATAAAAATGGCATTGCACAAATTTGTTAAATTTCTGATAGAAATACGATTTGGACAAATAAAAGATATATAAACGAATTGCAATGGATCGTTTTCCTGTCGTTATTCTTTTGATATTATCTTTGCAACGTGAATCGCAATTTCTTATTTTGTCTTACAATCTTATAATAATAATAATTAAAATGATCTTATAATGATATAATATAATAATCATGAAATAAATGATTTCATAAACTGTTGAAATGATAAATAAAAAGTTGGTGGTTTAAATAAATTTTCGATGGTAAAAGACAATTTTAAAATCTGCTGAATTTAATTGAATTGAAATTTAATTCGAATATTAACGATGATTGAAATCTAACTGTATATTTGATTACAAATTATTTTTGATAGTCGTTCACTGATATTAATCGACCCAATTGAAATTGAAATGGAGGTGATCACGGTGAGACCTAATTAACAATCACAGGAAATAACCTGCAATTGAATTAAGTTGCATTTTAATCGTCAGATCTAATACGTAATCAAATTACATTTTATCCACTTTATTCTAAGATAATATGGATGGGCGTCGAGTTATCATGGCTAATTTGCTTATTTATACAATGATTCGTTTTAATGAACACACCATTAAATGAATGGTAATTGCAACTTTAAAATACATTATCATTCATTCGATAAAGTGAAATCATTTATGTGACTCATATAGAAAACAATTATCCTGTTAAGTTACGATTCTTTATATACGTTTAGATACGTACATTTTAAAAATTAAAAAAAACAGGAATTTACTTTCTTTACTGTAACTTGTCTTATTTTGAACATCGGATGTTCACTGAAGGTAACACAAATTGAACGTCGAAAATATTAACAAATTGAACATCTTAATACTTAAGCAATATTAAGATATTTACTCTATTGCATCCAATACATTGCAATTTAATATAAATACATAAAATCCGCACTTTCTTTAGATCTTAAATTAAATGAGAATATCAATTGTCAAACATAATTATACAATTTAATCAGCTTTAAAAAATGCGCTATAACAGTTTTCACTGTAAACTTTATTTCTACGTATTAGAGTCAACTGATAAAAGGAAGGTAAGTTTAGGTTCAAGTGAACAGTATCGTCGAATCTCAAGTGAGAACATGATCCAATGAAATTGATGTACGAGACGTTTTAAATAGAATGCAACATCAGATCATCTGTTGATAGTGCACGTGCTATGAAACAGATTCGGATGACAACGTTCTCTCGTTGATACATCTAACGTGGCAGACGTGTCGCAATAGGAACAATACATGCCCCGCTATTTGATACTCGTAAACGGATCGCGTTACCGAATTCGTGATGCTCGCGTAAGAAGTGTTCAAAGGTTTAATGGATTTCGTTAAGGATTCACTTGTATTATCCAATGGAACAAAACTTAATCACAGATAGCAATAATTTATCAGCGATGAATGCTGCCCATCGCAATATCGATATAAAATGGTGTTGAATTTCAAACGCGAAGTGATATGCGAACCTCGATATTTGCAATACGAAACATCTAGTAGACTGTGCAATATCGGACTCCATTTCGGGCAACTTCATTTCTTTTTATTCTTTTCGACACACGTGGACAATTCTTATGATTGCAATTTCAAATGCAATTAACACATTTGCATTGGAAAACAAAAATTCTCTTTTTTAAAAAATAAGCGTTGTTGTCGGGATACGAATGTGTTAATATACTAGATTGTATATTATATTATATATTAATTACAAAAGTAAGTATCGCAGTTTTAATACACATATGTTGAAATATGTTTATATCATTAAAATACCCCGTTTTATAGAAAAGTTTTAGCAAAAATTGTCCGATGCGAATGTATTAATATAATTTAATTCAAGTAATACACTGTCGGCTGGAATAGTGTATAGAACAATTATTTTAATAATTGTATAATCAGATACAGTGATTGCTCGTACATCAGGAAATTGCAGCCCCTTCAGAATGAAAAATGAATATTCCTGTTTTATTATAAATTTATATATATTTATCTAAAATCTGCCATACTTTATATTATATACTGTGTAGGCACGATCCGCGATTGATCAGGTATTATTTTATGATATAATTTTCAAGCTTATTCAATGAATCCTGGGCATCTAAGTTTTCACTTCGTATTCTTTTATTAAAACTGATTGTTTTTCAAGGTATAGATAAGTGATTAGATATGTCTATTCTTTCCTACAAACAAGTGTGCGTGTAATTTACACGGTTGCCATTTTGAATCTTTTCCTCGTTAAATGTATTTTATATAACGATAAAACATATTCAACTTTTATGTAAAATATGTATCATTTATTTGCAAAATATAAAACAAAAACTTGGAATTAGTCAAAATAATCGATCGACATTAGTTGTTAAAATCAAATTTTCATCGAATCCTATTATAGTTTGTTTAAAGTATTTAAAACCTTTGAGTTGTGTTTTATGTTAACTACATAATTTTCTAACTACATTTTAATGTACACTTGAAATAACTCGGTAAAACCAAGAAATTATTTTTCATCTTTCATACATTGCTATTACTAATTATTGTGGTAAAACTCTGAGTACAATAAGAGATTAGTAATGAATATTTAAACTTTTATAATTCAATAGAATCTGAAATCTGATCCAACTATACATAGGCATGTATAGTATAAGTAGCTGATCTTTTTATTGCTTTTAAATGAATACAGAACAAAAACTCTTTAAAGATTACGTAAATATCAAAATGCCTTCACGAATAATTTATTTGATTTGTGATATACGAGAATTAAAACATGCTATGCTAATATACTAGAAATAAAAAGAATGACAGATATGATACGTTTAAAATGAAGATTAAACACAATTATTTGTAATATAAACAACAGAATAATAGACCATGTTACTAGAAATTTTTCGATGAAACAAAAATTAACGGCTAGAAATCTCAGCAACCATCAATCACAGATTAAACAATACAAGACGACAGACTGCTTGAACGGTTTCTGCCCTCTGGTAAAGGAGCGAACTATACCAGTGAGAAAAGTCGTTGTCCTATCACAACTGCACGATCGTCCGAGCGGTTCGTTGAACGAGAAGGTTAAATTCGAAAGCGTAAAATTTGAAGTACAGCAAGGAAAATCCAACTGCAATATCGAAAAAAAACTCTCAACAAGAAAGAAGAATATTTTCAAAGCGTCGAAAATTCGCAATAACTCTCGAAACGCATGTTTGATGGCCATTTACCGAAAATCGTGTATATCATCGTTCGCAAGGAATCGTGGATTTCTCGTTCAGATACGCATGCGTACCGAACGGGGGGACCTGAACCGATAGGAGCCGAGCGTTGTCGAACACGGCCGATACCGGGCCAACTCGGCTGCGATCCGGAGCCGGCGCGGCGGTTAAGCGACGAAAAGTGGGGTTAGGTCTTTAGTAGAGGGACGAGAGAGAGGACGAGTTTTCTCGGAGCGGTAAGTGGGGATAGAATCTCGGTGTGTGTAGCAGAAGCAAACGTATAGTTTCTCCGTTCCCGTGCAGGCTGTGTACGAGGGGTCGAAGCGAGACAAAAGAGCGCCGCGGTGGTCGAGAGCGAGAAAGAGAGAGGGAACTAGCGACTGTGGAACGGGCTAGAACGAGAGGTGGAGAAAAGGGACGAGTGGCTCGTGGAACGGCATGTCCTCGCGTGCTCGTGTCGTACAACGTTTCTGAACGCAGCCATTACGACAGAACCGCTCTCGGTGACGCTTTGCTGCTCTCGGTAGAGCCGTGCTCACGCGCGTAGTGATCGCGGAACGATCGGAACGGGACGCACGTGTTTTGCCGGAATTTCAACGAGGATTTCGGTGACGGAAGCGGTATATCTGTGAAAGGTGAACCAAAGAAAAAAGGGAAAAACCATAGCCCGACGACTGGCGTGCGAGCCGCACGATCTCTACGTAGCTGTTTTGTTTTCGTGCGTGTACGGAGGCCCGGAGACGCTTCTTGACGCGCGGCGTCACGTCGCGCGTACCCTTGATTGCCACCCTTCGATTTCGCACGGTCCAACCACCGGCCACGATCACGTAGACAATTTTTATAGCCATTGTTTTTCTAGTTGACGAATTTAAAACTATCCAAGTACCGAACGACAGCGGTTCACTATGTTTGACGTATTCGGCTCGGTGAAGGGACTGCTGAAGCTCGATGCTGTCTGCATCGACAACAATGTGTTCCGGTTGCACTACAAAGCCACCGTGATCATATTAATCGCGTTTTCGTTACTGGTCACCTCCAGACAGTATATCGGGGATCCGATAGACTGTATCGTGGACGAAATACCGCTTCACGTGATGGACACTTACTGCTGGATTTACTCGACGTTCACGATCCCGGACCGAACCGGCATCGTTGGCAAGGACCTAGTTCAACCCGGCGTGGCTACCCACGTCGAAGGCGAGGACGAGATCAAGTACCATAAATACTACCAGTGGGTGTGCTTCACGCTCTTCTTCCAGGCGATATTGTTCTACGTCCCCCGTTACCTATGGAAGACTTGGGAGGGTGGCAGAATTAAGATGCTCGTGTTGGACTTGAACTGTCCGGTAATGAGCGAGGATTGCAAGGTAGAGAGGAGGAAACTATTGGTCGATTATCTAGCGACGAACATGCACACGCAAAACTTTTATGCGTTCCGGTTCTTCCTGTGCGAGGCGCTCAACTTCGTCAACGTGGTCGGCCAGATCTACTTCATGGATTTCTTCCTGGACGGCGAATTTACCACCTATGGATCGGACGTGGTCAAGTTTACGGAAATGGAGCCGGAAGAGAGGATCGATCCGATGTCCCGGGTGTTCCCGAAGGTTACCAAATGCACTTTCCACAAATATGGTGCGTCCGGTACCGTACAGAAGTTTGACGGCCTATGCGTGCTGCCGTTGAACATCGTCAACGAGAAGATCTACGTATTCCTCTGGTTCTGGTTCATCATTCTGTCCGTGCTGAGCGGTCTGACGCTGGCCTATCGTGCCGCGGTGGTCGCCGGCCCGAAGCTTCGTCTGGTGCTGTTGCGCGCCCGCTCCCGCCTCTCCCGTCAAGAGCACATCGAGGCGATCGCTGAAATGTGCCAGATCGGCGACTGGTTCGTTCTTTATCAGCTCGGGAAAAATATAGACCCATTGGTTTACCAGCAGCTGGTCTCTGATCTTGCCGCGAAGTTACAGGGCAAAGAGTCCGTCTAGTTCACGCCGATCCTTTTTCTCGACTCCTATTTTTTCCGCTTGTTTTACACCCCGAAGCCTTTGCCTTTTAACCAGCCGAACCGAGCGTGTTACCGTTCACGACGGAAATCGAGGGTCCATTTTGCTTATCGCCGCGATCTACATAGCGCCGCCCAAGCATTCCAATGTCTTTTCGAAGTGATACATTTATCGTTATTTTCTTTCCTTTTCTTTTGGTTTTTTACGCTCGCGACGTATAAATTGTCCCTCGATGGTGCGCGAATACGTTTGCCGATTCGTAGGAAGGTGCCAAGCGAGAACCTATCGGAACATTCAAATTCGTTAGTCCGTATGGTTTTTTTCCTTTGTGCGAGTCACGTGTTCATTCCCTTTCGCATTTCGCCATCTTAGGAAAGCGCACGCGTGT